CTCCAACCATCCACATATCAGTGACATCCAGTGGCCTCTACTTTAGAAATTTGCCCTCATGCCTGTCTGGTAATAGCACACTTCATACTTAAACCCTAAGTTTACACCTAAGCCAAATCAAAACATATACATCTGTGTTGGGGTATGTCTGGAGAGTAGCATTACAGTGAGTTGATTGTTTTAATAGTAAAGATTAAGAAGACACCCATTACAGTCTCACGTTAATGATGATGCCAAGTGAATTGGGGGTATGCTGTGGAGGTAAAGCTCAGGTGACCTGAGTCAGCAGTTCTCACTCACTACTTCAACATACACTTGTTCATTACATACCTGAAAATATGGCAGGGCTTGAATTGGCGATTGCAGTTTCTGTGATACTTATGGGAAGTAAGTTCCCTCAAAAATTTACGTGAGCAGGACTTACTTCAATGTAGATATAGTGCTTGCTGTTCTCTATCACGTGGACATAAGCAGTGTGGATAGACTCTTCATGGTACTTTATACCAGCAGACCAATCAGCAGCAGAGCGGAGCAACTGCAAGGCACCAATCAGTAATGAGCGAACATCAGACAATGGAGGCGACACTAGATACATTTATGCAATGAAGTCACTCTTTTCTTTTAAGCAACTGAACGATTACAGCAGTTTCATTGTCATTTGTAGACCAAGTGCAAGTTAGCAGGTGGGCACTGCTAGTAGGGAAGAGATGGGACAGAAACTTGTTCTTGTACATAGTATATGAGAAAGGTATCCAGCTGGAAAGCACATCCTAAAAATACCTTCTTCTGCCCAAGATTATTTTCATTCAACATTAGAAACTACAACTTGTGTTTCTAAAGAGAATAACTCAGAAGTACTGCTTCTGATGTGAAAATGTTGATATCTATGTAAGTAAAGATTATTCTTTTTTTTTTAATTTTTTTTTACATTTATTTATTTATTTTTTTTGTGTGTGTGTGTGTGTGTGTGTGTGTGTGGCCAGCTCAGCCCACCAGGGGGCGGGGCTGGCTGGCATGTGGTGCTGGGGGATTAAACAGTGGTCCCTGTGGTTTGCTAAGCTTGTTCCAAGTAGGTGCTTTAGACCACTGAGCCATCTCGCCAGCCCCAAGTAAAGATTATTCTTATTGTAGAGTTCTATTGCTACAAGTTATGTAATCATTGTGCTGTTTCTATGACAGTCTCATAACTGCACAAAAGCACCTGTTATTTTGGTGCATTTATTCATAGCACACACTGTCACTCTCAAAAGTACCCTGGTTTGGGCCATATGGTATGGATGTTCAAGCTCTGGCTGAATTATTGATTATTCCTTTGCCCCAAATTTAGTGCCAATCGAATTTCAAAATTCTAAAAGATAGTCCATTTAGCTATGTAATCTGGTTTCTGCCTTTAATTAACAGTCTGATCACAGGCATATGACATTAACTCTAAATTTTCTCAGGGTGATTATAATAGAGACCCAAGAGTATATAAGAAAACTGAAGTTCAGATTGTTAAAGTAGCTTTCATGTTATCACGGGACCTTGAGTTTGCTTCTTAGCACTGGGTATCTTATCTTTGATCATCAAGCTATACTGTGTGCTTTTACCATTTTACCACATCTCTGTGTCATATCAATCAATTTGGAGTTGACCTCCTCGCCTTAAATGAAACAGACTCAAGTGAGGCTCATAACTGCTTCCCTAAATGGTTTCCCAACTCAAATATCCTCTTTTTTTTTTTTTTTGGCTCCGAATGCCTTCAGGGCATGATTGGCTGGCTTAAGTTGTGGGGATCGAACCACAGCAACCTGAGCCTGACTGCTTTGTTGAAGCAGCCACTTAAAGAACTGAGCTAAGAGGCAGGCCCCCTCAAATATCCTCTTGGCCAGAGGTATGCCATCATTTCATCAGTCTTTAAAGTTAGCGTGACCTTAGCTAGGTAGGTCTTTATGCATCTCCTCAGTGTCCATATCAAATTTTACACCTGGCTCTTATTTTTTGTATCATTTATCAGATTCAACTTTTGCTTATCACTCATATAACATCCTCTCTGTTCCAGACTCACCTGCTCCCACCTGGACAGCCAGAGCTTCTAGCTCAGTTACCCAAATTAGAGGCTAATTACACTATTGCTGAGCAGGCTCGCCAATGTCCAAAGCCTCTCTTAATTACTTACTGGCTGTTTATCTTGAATAAAATTCTTCATGCTTTTCAAATTGTATTTCTGTTCTATAAAATGGAGTATCTACTTTACGTTCTAGAGAGGATTAAATGAATTATTGTGAAGTATAGCTGGAGACCTGGCAGCTGGTAAGTAGTGTATAAGTGTTATTATTATTATTGCTATTATTATTGTTATTAACAAGAGCATTAGAGGATGCATTTGAGCAGTGGCAGATTGCACCCAAGATGTAGCAGAGCAAACTGAGGCTGTGCACAGCAGGGTGGATGAGAGGACATAGAAGGCTTCCCATGGCAAGTCCCCAATAAGTACTTATTTATATTTCTTAAACAACAGCAGATCACCGCCACAAGAAGCTTGATATTTCTTTTTTTGGGGGCAGAACCGGGGATTGAACCCAGGCCCTTGCACTTGCCAGAGAAGCGCTTGTTCCATTGAGCCATCTCCCCAGCCCCTAACTTTTTTTTTTTTTTTATATTTCTAATTTGAAACAAATGCTGAAACTCATGAGGTCAACAAGTAAAAAGCATTTAAAAAAATAGTCCCATGCTGCTTAAGAACATTAAAAGTGATCCAATACACAATCAATTTTATGTCTATTATACATAAAGGGTCTGATCAAATTGTTACTGTAATTAATAACTCTTAGAAATTGCACCCAGATATGGTGGTGCATACATTCAATCTTAGCACTCAGGAGGCTGAGGCAGGTGGATTACTGCAAGTTTGGAGCCATCCTGGACTACAATGTGAGTTCAAGGCCAGTGTGAACTGCATAGTGAGAACCTGTTTCAAAAAGGAAAGAGGGAAGGAAGGAAGGAAGGAAGGAAGGAAGGAAGGAAGGAAGGAAGGAAGGAAGGAAGGAAGGAAGGAAAGAAGAAATGTATATTTACAAGGATATTGAAATGTAAAACTAACTGCATTTCAGAGGTTCTACAAAGAGTACTTCAGAACTCTTATGAAGAGTTTATGGCCTACATCTACATCCCCCTGCTCAAGCCTTCATCCAGTTATGAGTGGGGATTTTCAGAGGTGGCTGGATCTAGGGTGTGTGACACTAGGATTAAGGACGTGATGCTGGTGTTAAATGTGTGATGCTAGATGTTGGTGGCAGCACGCATAAGGTGGGTAGCCTGGAAAGGACAAAAGGGAGAGGCAGGCTGCTTCTCCTGCTGCTGTTGCTCGCTGCTCGGTGCCCTCTGCCTGCTCGGTTGTGCTACAGACTGTCCTTCCTGTGCTATGCCACCCCTTGGCCAAGGCACCCGGCCTCGGGAGCCAAGCAACTATGGACTGAAACTTCTACAAACTGTGAGCTGAAATAAACCTTCCTTCCTTTAACTTTGGGTATTGATATTTTGTCTCAGTAATGAGCAAAGTAACTAAGACATGTTCAGACTTTGTCATGCTCTATGCTGTTTGCTTACACAGTATGTGATATTTGATGTTATCAGATGAATATGTGCAATGAAATTGGAAGATTTACTCTCGAACACAAGTAGTCAAATGCCACACAAGAAAACTCATACAGAAAATTTCAGTAAAAAAAATGAAGCAAAGTGAGAAAACGTCTTGATATCTTTACATCATCTTCAAAGAACTGTATTATTGTTGATCAGGGAGAAATCACGAAGTTTGAATATATGTTTCAATTTCTATTGAGTCAACATTAATGTTAATTATAGAATTTTATAGCTAAGGAGCACGGGATGGAAAAATACAGGTCACACTGAAAAGGTTCTTCTGATCCAAATCCTGATTCAGTGCCATAGAGCTCTGGAAACAAGGTGTCAAAGTGCAGTGCATATTAGTGACAGCAGGGCTCAAGACCTGCGGCAGAGCCGTGCACTTATGAACTCAGTCATGCTGGACAAATCATTTCAGTGATGCAGAGGCTCAGTCTCCACCACCATACAACTGAGTTCTCTTCTTCACCTTCTCTCCCAAAGCCACTGTAATGAAAATGTTGCAGAACACCAATGTGCCGATGACAGCAGACATTGTACTTGTGGGTATGTTCAGCTCTGTAAAAGTTATTGGCAAAGTTTATAAGTTACCCGCAGTGGTAACATTTTAGTTTCCTCAAATCCCGAAACCTGAACATTTCTTTCCTTTCTCACTCTCAAAATTTGCTCTGATTCAAAGACTCAATTTGCACATTCACATCAGATAAAGTTTAGGACTGTCAGCTGGGCATCAAGTGGCGTGTTATATCTAGTCAGTTTAGAGTGGCTTCTTGGACAGCCATGCTGAAGAAGGGATTCTAAGAGCAGGGCATGCTGGGAAAGAATTCTGAGGTTAATTACCAGCTGCTGCTATGAACAGGGAGAGTGAAGGTCAGGTACTTGCCACTTTTCCAGTAAAGGCTAACAGTGACTGCTTCCCTTCCTAGAGGCATTTCATGTTTAAAATAAATAGAGCTGTCAATAAAAGGACCATTCTGCACGTCAATTTGTGGGTGCACATAAGCAAAATGGGGGTGGGGAGACTGGCTTCATGAAGCCACAACACAGCTGAATACAGTATAGGGGTGGGCTGGAGGTGAGGTCACCCACCCCCTGAGGTGTTTGTATCATCTATTCTACTGCCTAAGTGCAAACTAACAGCCTTTACTCATAGGGAAAACTCATTTAATTGCGGGGGAAAAAGTCATCATTTGTGGACAAACTTGAAAGATTCCTTTTAAGCAACACAAGAAAAAAAGTCACTTGGGATAATTAGTCATTTACTATTCTTCTAACTAGTTAAAATATGCCTATCACCCCAAGGCAAATGGAAAATGACTTTTTCTTCTTGGTCAATCTGCACTCTTGAGCCATGGAACTCTGAAGTTATATAAAAATCAACTTCACTGAAAGATCTAGGAAATTTTTATCAATATTTCAATAAGTCAACCATACTTGGATTGATTTTATTGGTGTTTTCAATTTAAGATTCGCTCTCTTCTTTTTTCTTTTCTGGCCTGACCAACTTATCCTGTGTTTCTGTTTTAAACCAGTGTAACTGAAAGAAGCCTCAGATCCTCCCCCAGCATGACTCCATGTGGCCTATCTTACTGTTGTACACAGGCTGGGACTCAAACACAACCCACACTTTTTAAACCTCAAGTTTGAATTTACAGCTTTAAAGTATATGAAAATGACATGTTTTTGATTTTATGGTGTAGTCTCAGTATTTAATCAGGACCAGTCCTTTTCCTTTGTCCTCTGCCCAACGTTTTAAACATAAAATATAGCCTCCTTTTCTAACCACAAATCCTAATGTTCTTCTATAGGATGGGCCCAAATCAAACATATATAGGCCAATTAACATGAATTTCTGCTTGAAGGAAAACTTGCAGAATTTTCTTAGATTTTTGTCCCCAGTTTCTTTCA